TCAATATAACATTTCTAGCATGTAGTGCACGTCCAAATTAGCTGCAATCGATATCCGAAATATCACGCAGAGTTAAAACTATCAAATTCAGAATTTACCATTATTTTGAAAATACTCCAAATTTGGGGCGTAAGGGTCAGATATACAACTTTTTAATGCCGCCATTCGCACCAGCGACCCTAAATAATTCAAAAACGACCTCTAGAATGCCGAAATTCGTTAATTTTTACAGGTTTAAAATCTTGAACACCCTTTTGAACAAAAGTGTTCAAATTTTGCACCCACACGAAAATTTCGGTGGGTGCTGCGGGTCAAAAGTTTTATTTGGACCTAATAAACATGTGTACCGAGTTTCATGCTTTTGTCACAAAGTGCAGCGTTTACCTCGATATTCAGTTGTACCGCCTACGCTATATTACAATAGGTCGCATTGTAACACTTGTCTTTCAATATACTATTAAAAGTGCAATGACGCATAATGCATTAGGTATTTTTTGAATTTGTAAATGTTAAAATAAGTAGAACACGTGTATTCATGGATATATTACAAACAATGACAAGATCCCAGCGAAAGAGTTTTGTAGAGCTAGAAGGCAGGTTCATGTGCAATTAGAAGTTATGTTCGCAAAGGCAATCATATACTAGGGTTCCTTTAAATTTTCTACCTAATCCAATTGCTTGAACGCGGTGAGCCTTTTTGACCTTTGCCGTGCAGTTTTTTGTTTATCGTGAGGTCGTTTTACTGTAAGGGCCTCTCTTCAAGCATTCATTGGTGCTTACACAAACCTCACCATTAATCCCTTTTGTCATGTATTCAATAAGAAAACCGCTCCCAGTCTCAAAAAAATTAATCAATTTTCTAGACGTAGACGGGATTTTTGCCTTTTTTTGAGAGTGGATAGCCCTTATAGACCTACTGTATCTATTGATTTCTGTTTTGTAGGCGGGTCCCAACGAAGAATCAATACCTATTTCATCGCCTTAGAGTTTAGACAATCCACGAGAAATAACTGTCATAGTTTGTCAAAGGGTCCAAATTGTCTTTCCTGGGCAGTTTCTGCTCTGGCATTAAGGGAATCCATCCTACTGACACTTTTTTTCCAATCTTCTTGTATAGTCTTGGATATTATACTTTTCATCCGTGGCAAGCACTGGGATTTTCATTTGTCGAGCAGACAGCCGCAAATCTTCAACAAGACCTATGATTTTCCACTGCCATTTCCAGAATACCACCTGAGCTGAGTTGAGTTTGATAATTTTTCGGAAATGGTAGTAGAAACGAAAATTTTTTGTATCTAACCTCGTTTAGGGGCGGATCAGCTAAGGGTAGTCATGTTGAAACAATTGTAACAAAGTCGGAAAGGGCATACCGTAAACACCTGAGAAAGCACAAATTTTTTGGGACTTTTGAAAGCGAAATATTACATACTTTTTGTTTCTCCCTGTATAAAATGTCTCTCCCACAAAGTAAGGCTTGAAATACCTTTACACTTATTTAATTTATTATAGGGACATATTAAACATTTTAATTAACTAAACCTTTTAATCGCAAGCTGCTCCAAACATTGACTTTTATTTTTAATTTAATTCTCAAATTATGACATAAAAAACCTTTGAAACGGTTCCATTATGTCATATTTCATTTATGACATTTAATTTTTAAGGCTTTCGTACTAATTCCAAACATATGAATTGTATGTCAGTGGGTTTTAAAGCTATAAACAAAATTCAGCTCAAACTACCCCACCGATTTGGTTGAAATTTGAAACAGGTGTTCTTAAATATGGTTCTGAAAGCTGAGAAACGATTGGAATATGGGAAGTGCCCTTTTGGCTACAAAACTTGTATTTATTTACTAAGGTATGAGTAACAAAATTTGGATTGTGGAAATTTTAGGTCACGTATAGCGAGTTGATTCCGTGATTAAATAGAGGCCGGGACATTTCGCCGAATGCCCATTACGCCGACACGATTTTTTGAAGGTCCATATCGCCGACTAGGGACACTACGCCGACGGACACTGCGCCGACCGTGCCCACATCGTCGACAAGTGTGCAAGGGACACAACGCCGACCATGCCCACTTCGCCGACGGACACTACGCCGACCGTGCCCACATCGCCGATAAGTGAACAAGGGACACTAAACCGAACGTGACCATAACGTCGACTCATATAACACTTCTTAATCAAGCTGGACGGTGCGCAACACCAAGTAGCTTTTGACGTTAGGTTATTGTAGGTTCAGAATATTTTTTTTAACTTCTTGTTCTTTCGAACTACAGACTCATACGAAAATTCTTAATCAAACTGGACGGAGTGTGAAGCAAAGCAGCTTTGGATATTAGGTTATTTGTAGGTTTAGGACATGTTTTTTAAACTTTTTAAAATGCAAACTCATACACTGGACAGAGTATGAGGGGCCTGGATTTTCGAACAGTCGGCGTTGTGGTCACGTTCGGCTTAATGTCCCTTGCACACGTTTCGGCAATGTGGGCACGATCGGCGTAGTGTCCGTCGGCGAAGTGGGCATATGGTCGGCGTTGTGTCCCTTGCACACTTGTCGACAATGTGGGCACGATCGGCGTAGTGTCCGTCGGCGTAGTGTCCCTAGTCGGCGATATGGACCTTCAAAAAATCGTGTCGGCGTTGTGGGCATTCGGCGAAGTGTCCTAGACCCATTAAATACCGTTGTCGATAAGATAGTAGCCGTTTGCGATTGGTGAGGTTCCAGCCACACCATTGGCTACAATTTTTTAAATTGTACTTTTTTTAATTTGTCGTTTTAAAATAGGTCAAAGATTTTTTCGCCGTATTACAAACTTTATGACTTTCTGTACCTTACCTGCGAGTAGATTTACGTTACTATCAGATGACATACCCGTCTGTAAATAGACGTTAAGTACACGAATGCATTAAATAATATAATGCTGTAAAGATTATCTAAAACATAGTGATTAGTTTTATCTCGGTACTATTTTTGTTATTATTACTACACCATTCGCGATATATATTCTCAATACTTAAATTCTTAAAGTGCGAGCGTAATGAGTAGATGATCGGGGGGATTTATTCCCAAAGAACGTGTCTTCAGGGCGACGCGGCGGTTGGGGTTGAGAATTTTCGTTTTAGATCTGTGGAATTAACAATAGACATAGACACTGATACAACTGGAATAGATAAATGGAAAACGCATTCGTTGAACCTAAAACAAATTCAGTATATTTTGTGCGTAACTTCGTTTATGGGCGGGCTAGTTAGAGGTTGTAATAATGAAACAGTGTTAACAAATTTGCAGAACCGCAATTTTTGGTACTTTTGAGGACGTCCCATCTTTCAAACAAAACATTGAAAACGCTCGATTTATTTTTATAAAATTTTATCAATATATAAAATGTCTCACGCACAAAATAAATCTTGAATTACCTTTCCACCGTTTTAAATTACCAAAAATCTTTATTAGCAAGCTACCCTAAACTTTACAATGGAAACTGACTTTTATTTTTAATCAGCTACCGATTGACATCAAATCATTTTAATGCAATGGAGTTTTGAATATAATAACGCATAGAGTTATTAATTCTACAGTGTTGCAATTTATAAGTAAAAATCAGATTTTGAGAACCTCGTTACAGTAACGCAAATATGAACGGGATTGTTATTTGCATTTATTGCATACAAAAATGCTATTTTATTTTTGTGGTTAGTTCATGTTCAAAGTGTAGAGAGCGCCACGGTCAAACAAGCTTGAATTTAAATTCTGTAATAAAAAGAAAAATGTAAATTTAATTTGTGTTATTTAGTTTTTTAATGGTCTTTCACTATTTTTTTAGGATACTTTATCGTTCGGTATAGTAAATGACTATTAATTTGAATTGGCACACGTTGTTGATTCTTAATTTTAAAAAACTGTGATACTGTCAACCATTTAACTTTAAGCAAACTAAAACTGCAATTCGTCCAGCACGATTTTAATCTCGAATTTTGCGCTTTAATTTGAATTACATTGTTGCGATTTTGTGTACTTCACATGTAAATTGTGAAAATGCCACATTAGGCATGTAGATGTAAAAGTAAAGAAGATAAAAGGGTAACGATGCGCATACTTCTGCGAGAAGAACTCGTAAAACAAGACTGCTGTAAAATCTAGAAATAAAAGAATGCATATTTATTGCAAGAACTGCGTTAAAATGCAGCATGGAATGTCATGTCTGTTTCAAATGTGTCAGTGACAGGATAATAATGTACTTCGTCGCATTGTGTAATGAATACGATTGGTTTTCCGTATTAGATACATACGTCAATATACTTTACACCTGTTGTACCTACCTAGTACACTAAACAAATTTTACAGTTCCTTGAAATGTAGACATAAAACTTTACTGCCTTGACTGGGGCTCACTACTGTAATCAACTTTGTGGTCGATGGACCCTTTTCGTCCTTGAAAGAAAATAACATCCCTACTTTTTAGGTTGCATTACATCCATTTATTTTCAAAACCGATCCGTATTCATGTCATCTCACAATAACTCAAGCAAGGGATTTCCTCTGACAAATCCCGGCTTATAACAGCGCCTCCGTGACAATTATGGATAAGTACGTAAAATATATCTGTGAAAGTCTAATCGTTCACGCCGGATGTGAGTTCCACCTTGCTGCAATCTCACCGAGCCCTTCGTAATGACCTTAAACCATTATTTCAAATTGCCTACCGTCCTACCGCAATAGATAAACGGTTTCCTACGTGCTCGATGCTGGAAACATCCTCGCGGAGATGACCTACTTCGTAAAATAAGGTATTAACGATTGGCGTAGAAAAATAGGTCACGCTCATTGAATTTGCAACATCTAAATGAGACGTGAACGCCTCAATTTTCAGCTTTTATGCACCATTCATTTTGGTAATATGCGGAAAAGTCCAAAGTTTTCTTTGTGTACATTCGAATCGAATCCTTTTTAACAAATTATTCATGCCGAAATTGAAAAATTTTCCTTTTTCAGAGCCCAGCGACCCATCACCACAAAGATGTCCTTTCAAAATATGGCACGAAACCACAAACCGCAAATGGAAAGCATTATAAAGTGTCGTCTAAAAATGGAATTTCCACCTCAAAAAATACATACATCAATTCAGAGGTAAGTATATTTTAATGTAGGCAGCTTTTTTATAAACAGTAATGCGAAATGTAATTTTTACCGTTCCATTCCTATCATTCACGCGCCTTTATGGTATCCATAAAGGAATTGCCTATTAACGTTGTTTAATGTTAATAAATACCTGCTCGTAACAAAGATAGTACTTCCGTTAACGATTGCTCACTTGCGATTATTTTGGTTAGCGTAAATAAATGTTTTTTTGCAAGATTTATTTACTACGTTTCGCGCGTACGCTAATTGCAAATAATCAAGTTCAATGAACCGGTAATTTCGATGTGGAGATCACCCCCATTATTTCCACTTTTAACAAAATTGCAAGTTATAAACTGTATAATATGAAGCGGAATTTGCATTAAACTGTGAATGCAAAATGAGTTCCCATATTTTTATTGTTACTTCCAGAGTTGAATATAATCGTAAATGTCAAGGTCCTTATAAATAGTAGAGTAAGTTTTAATAACGGTACTGAAATTTTTGTAAAGCGAAAACAAGTTTGCGTTTATTCCCTTTATGGGGAAAACAAAATGAGAGGCACGAGGGTGGAATTACAAGGCACGAAAGCTCACTTTTGGGTTACAAAAGCAGCTTTATTAGCGAAACTCTCTGCCAAAAAGTTCGTTTGTGGATTTTGTTTTTTTTAGTTTTAGAAATGACGAATCTGGGTTTATCTGAAACCCTTTGATGTGGTTTGCCCTTTTCAGTTCAAATACGAATCCAAAAATGTGTAGCGACGAGACGAAAGTATTATCAGCAGGCGTCGATAACGAAGTGACCTATTTGCATTAATAACGGTATGTGCCAAGTATTTGGGTTCCGCACATTTTGATCCTGAAGTTCGGATTGTGACACTTGAAGCTTGAGTGTCCTCCTTGAAGCTTGAAAGCAGGAGCAGAAAGCTCGAAGTGTTAATCTGATTTCAATGAGTTATACGGAGGATGAAGTTAGGACCTAATGTTTGAAACTTTGAATCCCCCAGTATAAGGTTGAATCATGATATCTCAAAAACGAAGATTAAAATCTAATATTTGAATTCTTCAGTTTGAATACGGAAGCTAGAATTCTACAGTCTGTCTCCGATTAAGTTGAAGTTTCTTCTTTGAAGACCAAGTCCCGTATCTTGAAGGAATCTTGACCTCTGGTGATGGCAATTTGATACTCATTCGATCATGGGTTTACCGTATACGTTCAATTCAAAATGGTGCTGACCTGAAAATCTAGATACCTTGAAGCTTTGAAACTCACATTAGGGCGATTTGATGTTGAAAATCTGTAGTCGGAAAGTTGGGAATTTGAGGGCCGTGCTCGACACCCGAATCGAGAAAGTCCGGAAGCATGATAGTTAGAATCATTTAACCTGAAGTTTTAAGATGGTTGAATCCTGAGATGCTCGAGCTTAGATTTTTCGCACCCTGTAGTAGTGTATCCTCAAGATAGATAGATACCAATGTTCTGCAGTATTTACCCTTATAATTTGGTGTTTTGACAGCCAACAATAGCACGAATTAATTGCTTTGAAGCTTTTTTACCGGTTATAAATCTAATAACAGCCCGTATACACGGTAGAAGTGCACAGTTTTGATTTATAACCTTGTTTTTTAACGTAACTAGGCACTCCAAATATAGCGCAAATGAAATGCTTTGCACCTTGGACCTCAACGCTTTCGTGGTAACAATTTATTTTCATGAGAGCATGCTAATCCGATAATAAGTTGAAACGAATTTGTTCGCTCACGCTTTAAGAGGTAACACTTCACGATTGAAAATTAAATCCGCCGTCTATTAGTTTTCACAAAGTACACAAGTTTTTGTTCCAAAGGGCGGCTCCTACTGAATTAACGGACTGTACAAAATACCCCCGACAATAAATTCGTCGAAAATGGGGGCACAATCTTTGGTTACGCGGTTAACGATTTTTCTAGATATTACAGTTATACCCGCGAACTTGTAATTAACAATTAAATTTTACACGATATCAAAAATGGCGTACATAACTCGCATTGAAAGATTGGCCAAAAAATTCCTTTTACCAGATCTATAAATTTCCGCACATACGGTACGTAGGTTTGCCTCGGAAGGTCCGGCTCATTTTGCGCTTGAGCATTCCGTGTTGGAGTTTTGCACCGAATGGCATTCCGTATATGCGTTTCGCACTCTTGAAGCCCAACCTTTCAGTTCAGGAAGCTTCAAACATGACCCCAAGAGCCCAAAGCGTATTGAAAATTAAGATTTCGCGGGTGATAAAACAATTTACTAAAGTTATTTAACGAAAAGACCCGTTACAGTACCCCCTTAGGTGTTTGTCTAAGAGACCTGTTTGAAGCTTGTGGGCACGTGTCGTAAAAATTGAACATTAATTTAAGAGGCTTCAAACATGACCTTGAGGGCCCAAAGAATATTGAAAATTGAGATTCCGAAGCTTCCAATTTAAAACTGTAACACTTTCATATCCATTATGCTCGAATCATTAGATCTGAATGAATTCCAGTACATCAATCTAAAGTTAAAAATTATAGTTTGAATTCTTACTATTGAAGTCTCTTATTTAAAACCTAAAGTTTGTATCTAGAAATGGGAACCCGAAGCTGAAAAGTTTAAATTCCGAAGGTTCACTTCGGAAACTGGACGCCAAACATTTTACTTCTGAGTCTAAGGTAAGCGGGTATTCTGAGGCTTGAAGCAGGAAGCTTGAATCTACTCGTAGAAACATGAAGTCTGTAGTCCGAATCTTGTAGCTTAAAGTAATCCCTAAGGTTGAACATTCGAAAGTGAAGCTTTCAAGTTTGAACTCCAAGCTGGAAGATAAAGCTTGGAGCTTAAGCACTGATTTGAATATCCAGAAAACTAAAAAATATATATATTCACGCAATCTTAATGTTGTTGTCAGAAACGAGAAGCTAGAACTTGGAATATTTGATTGTACTCTTTGAAACCTGCACTGTGAATCTTGTAACTAAGGTTGCCACTTATTAAAGCCCTGGGGCTTGAGGCTTAAGATTATAAGGTAGAAGTGAGCTTGTATTTAACGTTTCAATTATAAATTAGACATAATGAAATCGAAAGCTTCGCAGTGGACGTGTAAAGCTCAACCTTTACAGGTTTATTACTTGTGGATTTGGGATACTATCTCTCCTGCCTAACAACAGCGGTAAAAATTTTCTTGTGGGAATTTACTTTATTAAATCAACCTTGTAATAACTTCCAATTATTTGGGTATTGTCCGTTATTCATTTTGTTTGCTGACGGATATAGAAGCAAATGTACTCTTTCTTAAATTAAATGCTGCGTACGGAATATTATTATACGAGGTAACGTGCTACTTTTTAACGTGTTCATCCCTAGAGCCTAGAATTTTAGATTATTTATGTCTGCTTGATAAAAATTGCACTTACAAAATAATCATCGACGAAGGTTTCGACCTTAAAATTAATGTTGAGGCACAAATACGTCTAGACATTTCACCTCACTAGAGCATTGACAGTTTTGTAAATTTGGTGATGGCAGATTTTGTGTCATCCCTGAGAATAACGAGCTCCATCGGGAGCGGGAAATTTCGTTAGTCAGATCCCCGAAACCCGAGATCAATCATTGTGTCTCGACATACGAGTATACAAATCCAAATTTGTCCAGGTGATGAAATGCTTTGTTTATTTTATTTGCAAGCAATGAAATTTGTTATAATGAAAATACAGTAAATGCTCTAATTTTATAAAAAATGTTGATATGAGAAATTCCATCAGATAAAATTACATTCCTTCAATCTAGGACGTATAACCCATTTAAAAACGTACGTTGATTGGTAAGGTTATCTGTTTACAACCTCATCGCAATAAACAATTAAATCTTTGACCTGTCTCATACTCAGAATGGTCCGAAACGTTCTTCATGCAGAAGAGTCTAAGGCTAATGAAAGATTTTGGGCAAATTCAAAATGATAAAAATTATGCATTTACTACGTTTCTTATCAAGATTAGTTGCAATTAATCTGGAACCATATCGTGTACTAATTTCCACATGTATGGCTTGCTGATAGGCACCACGCCCATTCTCGCTTTTGTAACAGCATATTTCATCGAGTATAATATGCTATCTTAAAGCATTGGGTCGTTGCACTTCAGATACTGTAGCAAATTCAACGTAATATTTTTAGGGTGTCTTTTCAGGAAAACAACGTTTGCTTTATCCTTTTACAAGACGAATACGATTGACGATTCCAGTTCACGCGACCTCTCTTATTTATTGCTCCCGCACGTAAATTTTTAAGTTTATCCCTTTTATTGATTGGCGGAGGTAGTGCTTTTTTCGTGCACGTAAAACATAGTGTGTAAGTCGCTTCCTACGTGTTCCTGACGGCGCCTAAAATTTTATTTATGCTTGAGCCTTGAGAATGCCATGAACGTTGCGATAAGATAATTACTTTGCAAGTACCTACAGTGAAACTTTTAGATACAGTCACGTTTCCTCCTTTTTTCAAGCACTTCCACTATCTTGTGTGCACTTTACTCGATGACTTACTGGTTAGCGATGTAGGTGCGGAATTGTGGAATGTAAGTGGAAACATCACCACCTGTGAGAAATTTATCTACAGCATTCTGAGACTGAAAATTTGAAGAAACGTACGAGTATATGAGGTTAAAAAACTTGTAACCGATGTATATCAAACCAAGATATTGGTCGCAATTTTAATTCTAGACGTAGAAGTATTAGCCTATACTTGCATATACTTGCATCAAAGAGTAACCACTCTTTGCTTACATCTCATTTTCGTTCAGTATCCTTGATAAACCATGAAGTTTTGAGAATCATTCCATTAAAAAATTTAAAAAAAATTAAATTAAATTAAAGCTATTGTATTCTGAATGAGTTTACTATAAATAAAAGTAATATAATTATACTATGAATTAAAGTAATAAAATAAAGTTAAATTAATAATAAACAGGCGATACCATGATAAGGCATCTCCTACGCTCAAAAAGTAGGTA